GTGTGTGTGTGTGTGTGTGTGTGTGTGTGTGTGTGTGTGTGTGTGTGAGTGTGTGTGTATGTGCGTGTGATTGGCCAGTGTCACAACCGTGATTTGGGCTGCAGATACCGATGCACCGCGCAGACCTATGGGAGCGCAGGGAAGGCAGAAGGGGGAGGGCAGAGTGTCTGAGGCGGACTTGACTCCATTTGTAAAGAAGAATCTGATGAGCGGGGTTCAGATCAGGGCTGCCGCTGAGTCCGTGAGGGCAATAAAGAGAGGAGCGATATAAATGAAGAGGAACTTACATCCGCTTTGAACGGATCGCAGCCTTTGTAGCCGGCGGTGACAGGGAGGCATTGGAGCGGACGAGCCGCGGACTGAGCGCAGGGAGACGGACAGCGGAACGAGAAACAACCCGATGATATTTCGGAGCTGCACAGGGCACATGGTGGATTTTTGAGAACCGACGCTCAAGCATTTGAACTGTTGGATTTCAAAGATAATTTAGTGGAAATTAAAGCAAGCCAAAAAAACAAAGCAGGCTGCAGTGCGCGCAGGAGCAGGATGAGCGTGTTTTCTGCAGGGAGAGCAGAGCAGTGCGTTTGAGGTAAAGGCCCTCAGGGACACCACGCAAAATACACACACACACACACACACACACACACACACGGGTCAGGCAGACTGTGGTTTGTTTATTTGATGTCAGCAATATGCACTTTAAAAGCTGCTTCCATTTTTAAACGGCATAGGCTGTAAAAAAATCAGCTGTGGAACTTCAAGCTCCGATACTGTCAATCATTAAGGTTGACATACAAAATAGGAACAATAATGCAAGCAATGTGACCTCTTTAGTTATAATGCAGACATCTGGGTTTTTAATATCACATAAATAGGCATGATCAATAGCAAGCATGTCATGTCATCATCAACATAAACAATGTTAAAGTTCAAGTTCACATTATTTTAAATGGAAACCTGCAGGTTATTGAACCAGTTGCAGTGTAAGTCAGTGTGACGTAATGGTAGTCATTATCTGTTTTACCACAATATAATGGGGACCAACGTTCACCGCCTCTTTGTATCCTTTAACAAAAACGGTCTCACCGCCTCCATATTAACTGTCAAACAGTTTTTGTTGCATTAGCCTTCACAGTAGTTAGGACATTAGATTTTTGTCCTATCGATTGCAAAAATATAATACTAAATATGTATTGTTTTCATCATAGATCTTCAGGCTGACTTTAGCCGTCAAAATATCTCGAACAGTGTCGCTTGTGTTGTTCACCCTGTTCAAAACCAAAAGCACATTGAACGTGTGTGTGGGTGTGTTTGTGTGTGTGGGTGTGTTTGTGTGTGTGCGTGTTTGTGTGCGTGTCAGTGGGACATGGCAAACGGAGGGGACCAGTTCGGCCTTGCAGAGCGTCCGGACTCTGACTCCATGGATTCCCCAAAAGAGACCAAACAGAAAAATCCCGGCTACACCTTAAACTCACCAGCTTCACCGCAGAAAGCGACCAGTCAGCAAGTACCGGCCTGTAATGCGGACCAGAATGTAAATATAGATTTTTATTAATATTGATCAATTATGGAGTTCAGATAATTAATCCAGAAGTTTCTGCGGTTATCGCTGCAGAAAACAATATCGATGCATGACCGTAGAACTGTGGACGAAATATTCACCTAATTTCTTAGTACACCTAATTGATGTGAGTTTATTTACAATGGATTGGTTTATATCATAAACCACTACATCACTATTTGAATACAATTACTATATGTAGGCTTTATATAGGCCTATACTAGATTTAATGAAACAAATTGAAATGGTTTCATTTCATTTCGGGGGCCTGTATTTAACTTCCAGAAGACTTCCTCTTCAGTTGTAGTGAGCACTGTTTTTATTTTGCTGCAGGGGATGGAAGGAATCAAAGTTTTCCTCCACGACAGGGAACTTTGGACAAAGTTTGATGAAGTGGGAACTGAAATGATCATCACAAAGGCTGGAAGGTAAGAGGAGGAAGAAATAATGATCTGTTGACTATAGTTTTTTGACTTTGGGTATATTTCATTTATCATATTTTTTTCATGAAGCCATGTCTTTACTAAAACACTGTTTTAATGCATGATATGGATTTTTATAAGCACCATATCTGTCCCAATTTGGGACAAACTGTACAATGTGAATGCCTCAGGGGACGTTTTGTCTCGGAGGAGGCTGGCTGTTTATTTTACTATCTAACTTCAGGTATTTTATCATCTAAGTCTGTCTGTGTTCGAAAGGAAATTCTAATTTGTTCCTCCTAAACGTGCTCCTTGTAGGAGGATGTTCCCCAGTTACAAGGTGAAGGTCACAGGACTCAACCCGAAAACCAAGTACATACTCCTGATGGACATTGTGCTCGCGGACGACCACCGCTACAAGTTTTCAGACAACAAATGGTTCGTATAGCCTTATAGCAACATGTACGTGTAATGGACGGAATCCAAACTTAGACAATACCACCCAAACTTCTGAGTGTAAGGGTTATCAAATGCACCCATCCGCAGTGTCCCTGTGCACAGGTCAGCTTTGATAGACCCTCTTGTTTATTAATGATGTAACATGTTTAACGTCGTTTACGCAGCAAATGGTGAGTAATACGACAACACAACCACCACTATTCTAAATGACTGAATAAAAAATAATAGCCTACTTCTGGGGGATTTCTTTTTCACATTCTCTTCCCTGCTTTTTTTTTTTTAGTTATGTGGGCCGCTACACATCTTACATCTTACACCTCAGCCTGGAACCTCTGTGAAACGATATCTGTGCACCGTGTTGTTGTGGGTTTACAATTCACTCCATGCCTCTAAAGGTCGGGTCCTCTTTGCAGGCTGGGGTGACCTAATTCCAGTGTTTTCCCCCGTAATTGCCCGCCGGTGAAATCAGGGTAGAGAGAGAGACTGTGACGGGTTCACCTGGCTGACAGACGACACAGACCGGATTAAAGTCTCCCATTCAACTATTTGTTGTGCTGAGGGGGGAATCCGAGCAGAGCACTGACTCTGTGATCCGTCGATGCGCTGCGTCTTCACAGCATCAGACACTCTGTTGTTACAATGTAACGGGCCGGAAACAGGAGTCCGTGTGACGCAAAGTCCTGCAGCTCAGAGACGAGCGGTTTGTAAAGAGAACTCGGTGCTGGCCTTTAGGCAGTTTGAAGAGATCAAGTTTTTGTTTGGGTTATTGCTCCCCTCAACTCCAACAGGCTGAAAATGTTTTTCTAAATTAATGTTATTTTTCTTTTGTTTAATTTTACTTTCTTTTATTGATTTATTTTAATTTTGCCAGGTCACGTCATGTGATCTTTAGCATCGGGACTCGAAACATAGGCCAGACTTCATGCAGCTACAGCACTTTTTAATCACAATGACATACAAGTTGGTAAATATTTCTTCGAGGTCTTTATTCTCGGGCTTCATTTGATTATTAGATCACATCCCCCACTAATTAATTTCGGCCCTATTTTTTTGCGTGTGACGTGTTAACGTGATGAGAAACAAGACCTCAACCGTTTGACACGTGGATTAAAAATGAATGAACGAAAACCTCTCTAACTTTCTTTAGTGCCTGCTTCTAGTGCATTGAAAAACAAAATGACCGCACCTTTCTTGTATGTTTTTGGCTCTTGTTTTTTTCAGTTTAGTGGTGGTTTCCGTGTGTTTCAGCAGATATGTTAACGGTTTCGGTCTTCTCGCTCGGCTCGTCACAACATCTATGGTACAAAATAACAGAGGCTGCAGCAGTTTTGAAGAGGACCGAGTTAATTTGTGTCGACTAAGCTATGGCCCCAGATGTGGATATCTGTGTAAACTCAAGAAGGTGCATTTTGTGTTAGTCTAATTAAAGCACCAGATAGGCCTTCTGCAGCCGGCGGCAGCGCAGGCCTCCTGCGTCGGGCACAGCGGTGCACTGGCGGTCAGAAAAACCACTGTGACCCACTGTGTGTCAATGTCTGACCGGTTTCCGACCTGCTGCACTTTTCTCCTCTGTAAAGGTCGATAACGGGAAAGGCAGAGCCCGCGATGCCCGGGAGGCTCTATGTCCATCCGGACTCTCCCGCCACCGGAGCTCACTGGAGCCGCCAGCTCGTCTCTTTTCAGAAGCTCAAACTCACCAACAACCACCTGGACCCCTTTGGACATGTGAGTCTGTCTTCTTAAATAGTGTTTAGCTAATGTGGTGTGTGCATATTTATTCAGAACAAGACAAATGTTCTTGGTCTTTTTTTTTTTAGCTCTTTGAATGCAGTTGTGGGCCTGTAATTTGTAGGCTTGATTGTGTCATAAAAACGTCTTTTAAAAAGACACTGAAGGACACAAATCATTAACTTCCCAGTGAAAATGCTCTATTGGCCATATGAAATAGCCATAATATGCATTTTAAATAATCAACCTTGAGTGGTGTTTTTGATTAAGAAGAATGATGACAACAATTACTCACAGGTCCAGTTGGGCAGGCAGGTATAACCACATGTAGCTCACTCTCGTGAACATATAACTCAGCAGACATCACAACACAACACAAATCAGCACGAGGACAGAGTGGCCACACTGCAGACTCATTCCCGCCATGCTTAGCTTTAATTGCTCCAGTTGCCCAATACTCTGAGTCCATACACACTTATTTCTCGTGAGCAAGTATCCTCCTGTTTTTGTGCGTGCGTCTTGGTGCGTGCATGCACATATATTTTTTTCAAGCTTGTTGAATTAGAGGTAATGATTTCAATGACTCGAAAGCCCATTAGCTAATGCATGTCACCGGCGGACACGTCACTGCGATTAAACGGTGCCCCCTTGAATAAACAAACGTGCTTGCGCCCATGCATGCGCATACCGTGATCCAACACTTGTGGAGTTGCCAGTGTCGTGTTAAGTTACGATTGTTGGTGGAATGCACTGAGTTGTTTTCACATCTTTGGTATTTGCAAGCCAAATTGAACGATGTTTCAGCCTTTTTTTAATATATAAAAAAAGTTTTAGGTCACCAAGTGCACAAACTTTATACAACACTGAAAAGAGTAGTGGCTGTAAATGTAGCAGTTAAACGTGCATATTAAGAATACAAAAATTAATTTGTATCTTTAAGTACATCTAGTTGAAGTTAATCTTAATCTGAAGATTTTTCCTTAACAAGATATATTTACGTAATCCTAGCCAATCTCCTAAAGTGCACCCTCAGGACAAACGATGATCTTGTCATATCTACTCTGTTCCAATATAATTGCGAGGTGGGAGGAGCCATGAAGAGTCGCATGAGTAGTAACACCATGAATGTTGTGGGTTGGACTACAATCACTGGCTCCTTCTGAAAAACTACATGTATTACCTACTTTAAGGTCTGTTTATGTATCGGAGATAAGTTGGAAGAATATCTACATTGCATTAGTGATGTGTGAAGTGGAAGGCTAATAGTAACAATGATACAATCAATTTGATAGAAGTAGAATGTTCGGTAGTTTGAAACGATTATCTTCTCAAGCAATACTTACAGAAACATAGCTTCAAATCATGGTGGAACTATAGTTTTCCTTGATCTTCATAATAAAATTAACTTGACTTTACTTGCAAATGTATTTTTTACTTACAAAAAAAAAAGTAGTTAATACAAAGACTAGTCCTGCCTGGTCTACATAATAATATGATGCAAAAAGTTGCCTTAATTTCTTCAAGTAGGATATATATATATTTGTATCAGTGTAAATCTCTATTTCAATGAACTAAGTCTGCCAGTTAATGACACATGATTACATTGAATGTATTTTGGAATTTAGGCCTTATTACGAGATAAAATTCACACAGATCAAATTAAATGAACTGCTTCACTAATCACTTTTCTTTAAGGTGGCATCATGGTTTTTTGGTAACATTGACATGAATATAAGACTTTTAGAAAAAAAAAAAAGCCTCAACATACGCCAGTTACATGATGCTACTGAATCAGGCAAAAACAATTCTTACAGTCATTGCTTCCAACAGTTTCAGCCTGATATGAATGAATCTCTTAAATATTAATGTTATCCAAGAAATCTTGTACCTTGACATAAGTTGGGTTTACCCTCCACCTGGCCTCCAGTCAGGTCCCAGCATCTGCTGGTGGGAAACATGACAGCTCTGTCAATCTCACCTCCTCAATCTGTCCCCCCCTGTGCAGATAATACTCAACTCCATGCACAAATACCAGCCTCGCCTTCACATTGTCAAGGCTGACGAGAACAACGGCTTCGGCTCAAAAAACACGGCTTTCTGCACCCACGTCTTCTCTGAGACTGCCTTCATCGCTGTGACGTCCTACCAGAACCACAAGGTACACGCTTTACACAAGACACAGTGCACCAACAACACTGTTAAGATATAGGAACTAAAACTCTACAGGGGGCAATGGGTAAAAATGATAGTAAAAATCGAATACAATACAAAAAGAGACTTTTTTTTGAGGATCTTTTTGGCTTTATTGGTCAGATGAAGAGTGTGGCGGCAGACTGTAAAGGGGAGAGAGAGGGGTATGACGTGCAACAAAGGTCCCACAGTTTGAAACAAACCAGGGGCAGTAACCATTCGGCTAGGCGCTCCACAAAAAGTGACATTTAGACATCACTTGGTGCTTTTTTAGCAGACTGAAGCTATAGGCTACCTCGTAATTATCCTAACAATTATGGAAATTAATCTCAAAGTCTTATGTGTGCAAATCTGATCTATTCTGCTGTCATATTTGTGACCACTTGGATAAGTGTATGAAGATTTGCCTTTGCTCACTGACAACATTAATACTTCTGTCTCTCACACACAGTATATTCACACACACACACACACTTTTTCTTTGTTTGTATTACTGTCCGTATTTTGTATCAAGTCAATTTGCATCTTCTTTGTTTATGTGGCCTTTTTTAGTATTTGTAAATATGTCAAAAAATAAGTTATCCGTGTGTGTGTGTGTGTGTGTATGAGAGCATGTGTGAGTGAGAGAGAGTGTGTGTGTGTGCTGGTCTATAATGACCTGTTTCTTTCCCTTGATCTCTGCTGATCCACTTTTCTCAAAGTCTATTAGAAAGACAGATTGCTGAAGCTTTAAGACGCTCTGCTGGTTAAGTTTTCACAAGATAGTTTCAATAGGATTACATTTCATAACAAAACTTAAACAACATAAATAGATCAATTTCAACTATATTGTTTTGTCTATTCCTTGTTGGTACATTAATTAATACAATTTATTTTGTACAGCCCAAAATCACAAATCAGAAATTTGCCTCAGAGGGCTTTAAACAATAGAGGCCTAAATTCTGCACACATGTATCTCAATAGTATTATTTTATTTATTGTGTAATAAAAAGTGTAAAAGTAAACAAACGCATACACGGCTCAGAAAATAGATTTACAACAAGTATTTTTGTACATTAATTTATTTAGAATAGTAGATACAGTTTTTAGTTGATGAAAAAGTTTATACCATTTATACATACCAGTTGGAGTATTGTAGTTTGTAAAAACTTAGTGATGATGACTTAAGTTAAGTGTAATTGTTATAACTGCTATTTTATCAAAATGTCATCGTGTATATAAATACATAATTGTCGTGTTAAATTCATATTTTGTACTCTAAACTTCTAATTCATATTATTATTATTAGTGTCAGTAGCAGAAGTTAGTGATTAAATAAGTTTTGAGTATTATTCTAGAAATTATTCTCACTTTTACACAATTTTACAAATTACATTTGTGTGATGAAATGTGGTTACTGTGTAAAAAATAAACTTAAACATTATTTCTGTCATACAAGTGATAACTAATGGTATCACACTGCTAAATCCAACATGCATGTATAAATGTAAGAACTATTTAGCCAGTCGTTTGGTGGCGGTATCAGTATTATCGGCACTTCAAAGTTTATTTAGTTCGAGCTCGTGTCAGATCTCAAGGCCACTTGCCTGCTGTGCGATGGTGGTTTTCCTCCATGACATCACTGAGAAAAGTTTGAAGACTTAAACATCAAAGCTCGCAGCTTTGGACCTCTAAAAGCTTTGGCCTGAAATCCTTAAACCTGGCGACTGTTTGGGTAAACAGTTTATTCTGCGTCAGCTGGCGAGGACACGGTCCGCTCCGTTAGAAACGTCAGCTGCTGAGGAATGTTGGCCGTGCAGAGCTTCGGCGGGGCTGCTTTTAACATCTGTAGGGCCTCTCACTAGTAGTAAGCTATTGAGTTTCAGTCAATGAAAAGAACAGTTGAATGTGCCTTCATGTGTCTGCCTGTACTTGCATAAAAGTGTGTTTGTTTGGGCCTGTGCATGTGGTGTAATGCTTGTGTCTGTGCTGAAGAGTTTCTATGTTTTGTGCTCAGATTACACAGCTGAAGATTGAGAATAATCCTTTTGCGAAGGGCTTCAGAGGCAGCGATGACAATGAGCTGCACCGCATGGCCAAGCTACAAGGGTGAGTACAGCTTTGTTGACGTGTGTGTGTGTGGGCGTGTTTTACCCATCCACATACTGTACATTACATTTTAGGGTGAAGACTTGGTTTAAGGTTAGGATTAGGCTGATCATGGGTATGGTTTGCGTTATGCTAAGTCTCCAGTAAATGAATGTAAGTCAATGTAATGTCCCCAAAAGTCATGAAAACTTGACTGTGTGTGTGTGTATCTGCGTGCTTGTGAGCATTCAAAAGAAACAAAATCTATCACCCTCTCTGAGGGTTGTTATGATGTGGTACATATGGTCTAAGACATGAGTGTGTGTGTGTGTGTGTGTGTGTGTGTGAGCCATTGTCACCTGAAGGTTGATCTCAGCCTGAAATCTCGACCAGAGCGTGCAGCACAAACGCGACACCCCAAGCGTCAGTTCCTGCATTGATAAATAGATGGATGATGATATCACGTTGCTGCTGGTTTGTTCCACTGTCACTGCTAATCAGCTGATGGCCCTACATGGTGTCTGTTTGCTTGTTGGACTGATCTCCATTCAAGCGCTGTTGTGTCAGGCAGTGTAGAGATTTTGATGAGCCAATGGGAGAGGCTGTGACAGAGGGCGGAGGAGGGAGAGAGAGGTTGCTATTAAATTCAGCACCCCTGTGTTACTGTGCTGCTGTGGTTGGTGCATGGGGAGCAGAGCAGAAGAGAGTCTATCTGAAGTGACACACGGATGGATGTTTATTTTTAGAGCGGCGTATTATCTCACAACAGGACTGGCTGTGTGTGTGTGTGCATGCATAAGAGTGTGTCACTATCTCAGCGAGGGTCAGGGCGATGTGGCCCGCTGTCCCTTACATACCACAGAGTTCACCAAGAGGGGAGTGTGTACAAAGAGAGATCAGAGCTGAAAGGATGGAGTACGGCTAAGTAGACTTGAAAGAAGGGTGTGTGTGTGTGGGGGGGGGGGGGCAAGACCGCTAATAATACACCCAGTTTGAAATAAATACACGTACAGAGACAGGAGAGGTTGTTTTAAGCATGACAGCATCAGATGCAAATTGTTGCTTCTGCTGTAATTCTCAAACCACCTCTCTCTTTCTCTGTTTCAGTAAGGACTACCCTGTGGTCCCTCGCAGTACCGTCCGTCAGAGAGCCTGTTCCACCGGCAGTCCCTTCAGTGGGGAGGGCCGGGGTCTGCATGGATCTCCCGAAGCTGTCGGATCCCCCTTCAGCTGCGAGAACGGCTTGAGCAGCGGCAGTCCCCAGGAGCTGCTGAGGGCTCCCCCTGCACACTACACCCTTCCTCATCGTCAGCTGCAGCACGGCCAACAGCCGCAGGTCTACCACTGCACCAAGAGGAAAGGTAGGAGGACGCTGTGTGTCTCTGCCTCCAGTACACTGTGTGGGAAGACAATTAGCTCAAGCTGTACAAACACAAAGCAATGCCATTAGTCTACTAGTGCAGACACTACCTATTTATTTTCATTTAATTATTGTATTGTATTGTATTATTTGTAATCGTGGCAATAATTGTGTATTTTTCTCACTTTAAAAAGTATTTATGAAATATCACTGAGCGGCCCTGAAACTTATCTAACGTGTGGCTCTGTGCCAAATTATGAATAGGCTATTAGCACAAAACAGCTTTGTGTAAATGTCATAGTAATTACTTCCAGTGGTTTTACATGTTTTTTTCCAATTGCTGACAATCGTATAAAGTTTAATATTGTTTTAAAATTGAATAAGATTTACCCATTTTAAGATTGCAGCCAGTATGGAAATTGGAGACTTGAAGTGTATCTGTGTATCTGAGTTATTTGGTTATCTTTATTTATTTATCAGTCACAGCATCCTCTTGGTAATGCAGTTTCTGCCGGGACGATTTTGAAAACTCAGAAATGGTTACCATATATATATATAATATATGAATGTCTGTCAACTGTAAGTTAATAGGTTAATGATGATCATGTAACTACTGCATATAACATGGAACTAACAAAAAGAGTTTTTCTTTTTTTTTTTTACTGCAAATGACCTCAAATTTGAAGTCTTTTCAGGTCGTTTTTTTAAAGCCTTCTGAGATGAATGGCAACCAATGGCTGCCTGGGAAACAGCACATCAACCTCAAGACCAGATTCACTTGTGCTGTGACTGGCATTCAGTCTGTGTTTGCAAACTGTTTAATTATCATCAGATTCCCTGAAGCAGCAGCTGACTGAATGAATATCAGTTATTATGATTATTGGTCATACACACACGCTTGCATGGGTTCATTCAGACATATTAATCGACAGCTAAAGGAAAATCACTAACAATGGGAAAAAAATGAAAAGAAGTTTAAAATACTAAATTATTAGTCCAAAATATTTTGTAAGGCTGCAAGCTGAGAAACATTATTTAATTAAGCATGGGTGACGAGTAATGTGTGCTTCAGGCTTGATTAAAGAAAAAATAAAAATGTCTCAAAAGGCCTTAAATCTGGACTGGGCTACTTGACAGAATGGTCTGCATTGATGTATAGCTTGTACACTTTGTAGTTAACTGGGCTGGGTATTGTTTTAATTATATTATTGAAATAATGATACTACTGTATGTTTCAATACGTCTGTCTGTGTCTCTCTCTAGTGGAGAACTGCTCTTCAGGAAACCGGCAGCACCAGTACAGGAAATCCTTCACCAGAAGCTCTCCTAGTGAGGGCGAGTCTTACTATCACCCCTCCTCCTATCCTCCTCCAACCGGTCTACCCAACAACCTGCTCACTGACTCCCCCTACAGCTCAGACATGGGACAGCGTCAGGCATGCATGTTTGCCGGCGCCGAGCCCAGACTGGATGAACTCAACTGTACATCCTGGTCATACACCTGCCCGCTCCCCTCTGCCATGACCCCAATGGAAACCTACCCACCTTACACCCCTCATCCCCCCTACAGCTCCAGCCCTCAGGGCTCCCGACTCAGTGCTTTAGCCCACCAGAGCTCTCCGCCGCTGGGAGAACACATCACCCACGACCCCTTTCAGAGCCAGACCTCTGGACCTTCTTCTCAGAGCTCCCAAAACATTCACAGCAGGCAGGTCAGCCCTCCTCTAAGAGAGTATCCCCGCTACACGCCCAACCTGTCTCCTCCTCTCTACCACACACTAGAAACACACACGCGCATCAAATGTGGCGTCCCAGAATGGAGTGCAGCCTCCTAACTGAACCAGAGGACACATGCGAAAGACTGACAGAGATTCCTCGTCTCAAATTCAGCGACCCTTCTTTTTGCTTCGCTGAAAGATGCTGCGCCATATACGGACTGAATATGATATGGCCTTTGTAAAATATTTGTGAAAAGTGATTTTGTGCTGTGTGTGGAAGTCTCATCGTTCCTCATGTTTCCCCCCTGTGCTGGATGGAGCAGTGGATTGTTGAAGTGTTAAAAAAAAAAAAAAAAAGAATCCGAGCAGCACAATCGAAGTTGTAGGTTATTGTCTTTCCATACTCCAAAGACTTGTGTCATCCACATGTTTGCACTGTGAGCCCTGCTAAGGCCAGACCGTGAACAGCACTAGGCTGTTTCCCTCTCAATGACTCCCACTCTCTCCATTGTGAAGGATGTAAATTGTGACCCACTGTCAGACAGGCAGTAACATTTACTGACCAAAATAATCTCAGCTCTCACAGCAGAGCCCGAGGGAGACGTTGTTTCTCTTTAGTGGAGCAAAGCACAGCTCCATGCTCAGTCTCAGTGAAGGAGAAAAGGCATGAGTTGTCTGTGCGTGTGTGTGTTTGTATGTAAAGCCTATGTCAGTTCAGCTCAAGGATGCTATGAGTTAATTTCCAATGAGACAGGCAGTAGTAGCTGCAGGCGCTGCACCATAGAAATAAACAGTTTGTTTAGACCATGCTACAGGCTGAAGGACCTGTAAACACGGCTTCCACTGCATTCTGGGTAAATGCACAACTCAGCGTCACCCAACTGTCACCGCTGTCCTTTCAGTCACCCCCAGCTGACCAATCGGCTTTCTCCGTTCACTGAGAGCCAGCCAATGAACAAGCGCCTCTCTTTTATCCCCAGCTGACCAGTCAGAGCTGGAGCGCAGCATGTTTCATGTGTGCCTGTGTGCTGGCCCATTTTAGTTTTGTTTCTGAATTATTCATGAGTCCAGTGTTGATCCTTGACATGTGAGGATTGCTCAGCAAACGTAGAGAATCACAGTGCTGTAAATGGGCTAATGTTGATTCACCAACTCTTTAAAATATTCTTTTTTTACTTTGAATCGAAATGCTCCCTGTCGCGTCCATACAGAATGTTTCCATTAATTGCTGTGACAAGATTGGGTTAAATGCATTTCCCTGTAAAGAAACATGTGTGTCACCCACTGTGCAAGATTTTGGTTTATTGTGTAATGAAGCAGTTTTTATGTTTATGTCCAGGTGTTTTACATGCAGTAACATGTGAGAAGGTGCTCTAACATTACAAACCATCAGTATGCAGAGAGCAGATCCTCATCATTCCTTTATGTGTATGTATGTATGTGTGTGTATGGGTGTGTCACAATGAGATTTTTTATAGCGTTGTTCCTGCTAATAGTATTTATTACTCTAGATTTGTAAAGATTAGTTTGTTGTTAACTTGTGAAACAAGACGGTATTGTTCAAAGATATTTGTTTCTCTTTGAAGGTTTGTTTCTGGTTTCACCCTCCATCTCCAAGTGGTGATAAATAGTTGTGATAAACAAACAAAATGTGCTGTTCAATGGAAATAAAGACAGATTTATATACAATGGAATACATTTTAGAGAATTGTGCGTAAGTCAAGTGGTTGTAGTGTTCTTCTTTGTGATTGGACAAGAAACGCAGCAGAGATGAACTATTAACATTCCCAGTGGGTTATTTAAAGTACGTTCAGCACCTTGGGTGTGGAAACTCTTTTAAGTGGGGTGCAGTTTATCAGTTTCAATGCATGATTCAGTATGAAGGACCTGATAACAACAGCAGCCTGCTCCTTCTCTCAAATGCTGTGTGTGGAAGAATCTCATTCAAAAATGTCGAGCGTATTGTTTAAAGTGGAACAGTGCATGTGCTATGTCGTCTTATCACATATAAAGGACCCCAGTGTCTCTAATTCGTCCACTCAGCAACGAACCCTTGTCCGCGTCCTGTTATCTCTGACAGGTTGTTTGGCATCTGCAGTCTCCACCAGCTGGACCCCCTCACAGATACCCAGAGAGGGGCCGGGTGTGCCGGGATGCAGGACAAAGAAAGGTGGGGGTGTGTTGGTGGTCCCCCCCCCTCCCTTTTCTTAGACTCCCCTCCTCTCTCTCCTCCTGACATCTCATGTTTCTGTGTCTCTCACAGCAAAGTTAACCTCTTACACCTTACACCTGCTCAGAGTTTACAGCACACTTGTTTTGAAAGAACAAATGGACGTAACATGAAGAGATATATTTAGAAAAGGCTGCTAAATCATTAAACTTCCTGGTGTATTTACATTCAATTGCATAGTTATATGTCAGTTGTCAGACCTCCCTCTTTCTCTTTCTTCCTTTCTCTCTCTCTCCAACACCATAAGGTCAGAGGTTAAGCAGGCAGCTCTTCAGAGGGTCTGTTCCTCCTTAACCCTTCGTCTCCAGACAAACTCGGGCCAGGATGAGGAAAGGGGGAGAGGGAGGTCCCATGCATGGGCCTCGGACTTTGAAGATGGATTGCGTCGCTTCATGTGTGCTTGTACAGTAACAGAGTTCTGCGATGACTTCTGTGTGGCTGGAAGTTAGCTGGGAGAATAAAGCTTTGGATGAAGTGGTAAAGTAATATCAAACACAGAGTGTGTGTTTGTGCGTGTGTGAAGGATCTTAATCCATCTGTGGAGGACTTTCTCAGACACACTGGTCAGACAGTAGATTGATGAACCTCTGCGATCAAAGAGCCTAAGTGGTGCTTATCATTATCTCCCAGACGAACCCCCCCCCCCCCCAACACACACACACACACACACATACACCACTAACCCCTCCGTCTGCCCTCAACATATTCTACTTTTCTCATCCTTATCCAAATGTACCATGATGGTTTCTAACAGACGCAGACACACATCTTTTTTTCATCTTGGGTGACAAGACACCGCATGTAAAAACAGAAAAAGACTGACATTTGAAAATGTCACACATTTGGCCTGCAGACCTAACATTCTGTAACACAACTAAACTGGGAGGGTTGCTGAGAAGGGCTTATGTTTCTGCTGTATGAATGTTGAAGCTGCTGCTTTCTCGGCTACCAAGACCCATTTCTCTAGCAAAGAAAGCCTTTTTAAAAGGCATCAAAGACTTATTTAAGCTTATTTCATTACAGTCTGAACTATTGGTTTGAATCTATAAATGTGTAGCCGGAGTCTCTTGCAGGACACTGAGAGGCATTTGTGTGATGTCTAGCATTAGTGATGCCATTTTGTGTAGAATAAGTGGTCTGAGATGGAGTGTAATTGGTAAAGTTGATTACGGTTCATCTCTATGGGTCGGATGGTGCTCCGTCTCTGTGGCAGTAAAGGGAAACAGCTCAGTCCTCCCTGACTAGCATGGCACTAGTTCAGCAGCTGTTACACTGAGATGTCATAGAGAAAGCTTGGATCGATTTTCACGTTTCAAAAGTTTAGAGTTAAATATTAAAATTGTTTTTGTATTATTTTTTCTTTTCCCAATGGCTTTGCAGAAACTTGAGAACAACAATCACACCAAAGCTTGTTCAGGTGTCTTTAGAGAGGGAATTGAAAGTTGAGAGAGCATAGTTGTAAAATGGGTTGACGGATACATCAAACATATCTCTTTGAGCGTATTATGTTAATATCCTGAGCCATATGTAACTGTAATTAGAATCAGTAAGCATTGTATGGCACTAAGAGGACAGCACAATGGCAGTACAATAATGTAAAACAATGAATGCTTGGCCATTACATGTGGTGCAACAAAGTAGGATGGTGGAGGTTTATTTGAATGATACTATCCATCCTTGTTATTTAAAAGCCACAAGAATGGTCTAATGCTGTTAAGCACAGTATGGAAACAAGACTGAGACTCAAAGCTAATTTCCCCCTAAATGAGAGTTTATGGCTGATACGGCCCTGAAATCACTGAAGTAGATCTTAATATGAGCATAAGGGCTGTCAAGGATAAGAGGCCAAGTAGGAGTGTGCATGTGGGGGGTGTGTGCTTGGGTTGTCCTGCTTGTTGCGTCTAAAAGACAAAGGAAGAGGTTAAGGGTCAAACTAACAGCAGACAGGCCAATCCAGGGTTAGAGTGCTCAGGCTAACCTGATCAGTAATGGTTGTTTATCTGGCCATCCTCGAACCATCACCCTGATGGAGCTGCCTGATCCTTCTCTCTCATGCTGGACTCTCACTTTTAGACCAGATCAACTACTCAGTGCCAGTTTTAAAAAACTGCCAATCCCCGTAAAAGATACAAACATGCAAACGTCATGAAAAATCAGATTCAGGATATCTTGTTGTCATGTGGCCGTCACATCCCAGGATCGGGTCCAAAGGGATAACTTTGTCTCCCCAATTGTCCTGTCACTCTCCCCATTGGAAGCAAAGTTTTTAAAAAGGACACTGTGATGTGAGCAAGAATAATTGTTTTAACTCCTAACATACCGCCAAGGTCCCAAGACCAGCAGCCAAACACACATGACAGGGTGAAAGGGATAGAGGCGCTCCCGCAGTGGGTGGTGAGGGGGGTTGTGAGACGTCATGGAGCCAATGTCTCGTCTGATTACAGCCAGAGGACTGGAGAGGCACGCTAATCCCCCACACACACATACACACAAATAAAGATACACAAAAACACTCTATTTGAGACAAAGCCCCACAACCAGCAAGGCACACAAACACATACACACACAAAACCCATACAGTCAGTATTAACCCCATACCCCCTGACCTCACTCCGGTCCACTTGTCCAGACAAGACACACATAATGATATCACTACCAGCGGGACTTCACTTTGCCGCTCCTTTTGTTTGCTCACTGTACAGACCGGCTGTGGCCCCTCACCGTCCCCCAATTTTGATTAAAGGAACATTGTCAGGTCATTATTGTGCATGTGCCCGGGACCGTAGCCAGGATTTCAAAAAAACTCAACTCATGAGTCCAAGTTCTCG